ATAATTATCTAGTTCCCTGCTCCTTTGAATCATGCCCAAACCATCTTCCCTTCCCTCCCATCCTGTGGAAAATTATCTTCCCCAAAACTGAGCTTTTGTGCCAAAAATATTGGGGGCCACTGATACATGCATAATACACAAGGTCACAGCTTCAAGACCAACCCAGATACACCCAGAAGTGTGCTTTGCTAATCTCCTAGGTGACTCCCAAGCCAATCAAGTTGACATAATTAAGTTTAACCACCATTAAAATTAAAGCTGAGAAAAGTTAAAAATAGTTCTTGCTTTGCACAGTAATATGAGCTATAAAAATAGCCATGCAAGCTGAAACCCTGCAAAGCAATATTAATAATCAATGAAAAACTTTAGTATTGCTCTGTGACCTTCACAAAACATTAAAATTTTATAACTATCTGTTATAAGTGTATAAGGAAATGACAACAGTAAAACTAATATTTATTGAATATACTGTAATTTAAGATAATTAAATTGGTTTATTTCTACTAGCCTAATCAAAAAACAACTTACCCAATAGTAGTTTGAACAGTGACTGCATTCATGTCACATAACTTACGGTATGGTGCAAGAATCTTTTCTATACTTTGTAAGTTGCCATAGTCTTTTCTATGTTTGCATGAACTTTCAACATTTCATCCCTTGCTTTTGTAATGAAAATTGTCTCAAAGAGTTTTTTAATGTGAAATTTATTGTTGGCATCACTTCCTCTGTGACATTATAATCTTTGTCCCAACCACTTTCTTCATTTAATGTCCATCAGTTTGCTTTCATGAACTCTCAGGCCACATATTAGGAGTCTCAATCAAATAGTGACAGTGTCAACATTTGAATGGTCAGCTTTTCCTTCTCTAACTTCAGTTATGTTCAATGTGAATTTCATCTCCAGAAGTATCTCTTTAGTTTCTTTGCTGTACTTTCATGTTTTTTCTTTTGATTACCCAGTTTCATAACATGTCACTTGGATTTATCATTGAGAAACAAAAAGGCAACACAGCTACATACTTTTCTGTCTCAGCCTGGACTGAGTAACACACAGTGGGCAATCACCATCAGACTTTGAAAGAAGTGACATGCTTGGTCACTGATCAGGACACCCATCCTTGTTTACATAGTGATTTGTGGACTAAGGAACTGGTAGTGAAGTTTGTACTTTATGAATCTTCACAATTAACATGCATGGTAACTGGAAATTGATCCATACTGTTGGGAGTTTAATTACTTATCTAAATTGTGATAACTGAAATTCCTACATATCACAACTGTGCCAGGTGAGAACTGCCTGCAATTTATTGATGCAGCCAGCAGTGACATGGCCAAGATTTAAATTCAAGTCTGCTTAGTCACTAAACTCTTGCTTTGATTAATATATTAATTTGACTTAGAAATTCATGTCTCCAGGGGTAGGTAATTTCTTTTTTCTGGAGGAGTTATGGGTAGAAGAGAGATAGGTGGAAGAGTATTAGAGGAAGAAAGAAGAAACAGTGAAAGAGAGAGAAGAGAGTAAATTGGGAGAGGAGAAAAGTGAGAACGAAGGTAAAGAAGAGAGGACAAGAAAGAGAAAACAACCCAGACAGCTCCAAGAGCAAGAGAGCAAACAAAGCAGACAAATGATTGGGACAAGCAGGGAAAGAGAAGAAAGTAAGAAAGAGAAGAAAACCAACTTCAGTGTCCTAAGATGATGACTCAGTGGTCAATGTAATACACTACAATGTTGTTATTTATAAGCTGTTCCTTCCCCTCATTCCTTGCCTAAATTTTCAGCTTCTTTCTCCCAAAATGGCACTATATTCATTATTCATTTTCTTTTACCTGAATGCTACCTGACTCAACAATATATTTTGAATGAGCTTCCAAATTATAACACTGCCAACAGGGCATTTAGAATGATCTTGTGTTATTTAATAATTGATGTAAGAATAAAAGTGCATAATGTAAAAGAATCATTTCAGTCCTTTTCCAGAATAAATTCCATATGATTAAAGAAGTAAATATGAAATTATAATTTAAAAAACCAACAGAACATAGGATTGCAAAAATTATATCCATCTTCAGAGGAATGAAAACTTGTAAATAAGAAATAATCAACCAATTCAATTAGATAAACATTTAAAGCCCCAGTACAATGATGAGTAATATAGCTAAAAGACAAGAATATGAAAAGGTTTGCAGAAAACATGAATGTGCATAGAAATTAATAAGAAAGGTGTCTAGACCCAAAGGATAAATAAAGAATAGGATAAAACACCACACAAAAGTAAACATAATTACTGAACAAATATTTAGGGAAATACTCAGAAGCTACTAAAATACAAAGAGAAATGGGGTATTTTTCACATGCAACATGAACAAATATTTTTAGTGAAAAATCTCTAACCCTGCATCAAAGTACTTTATAACTATTACTGTCACATTGATTCAGGCAATTTAAATATTTTCAATCTTCTTAAAAAGTAATGTTTTAAAAAAATTTGATGCAAAACATTTATTCGTACATTTTAAATACTCATAATGGTAATATTCATCATAGGAAATTTGTGCCCTACGTGATATATCTTGCTTTTTCTTTTTTACCTATTCCCCTCCCCTTCTTTTGACTCCTCTCCCTCCTTTATTTTTTTTATTTTTTTTATTTTTGTACCAGGGATCGAACTTGGAACCTTGCACTTGTGAGGCAGGCAGTAGCACCACTGAGTTAAATCCCTGGCCCTCTTCCCCTCCTTATTTACAAAAGATTTGTTTCTATTTTTTCCATTTTCACTTTTTTCATGTCCTTTCTTTCCTTTCTTCCCTCCCTCTTCTTTGTTCCCCTTCTCATTTGAACATTTTCTTCCCATTTCCCAATATCTATTATATATTTTGATTCTTATTTCCATTTTTGGTTTCTTACACCAGAGAAACAATGCAGTATTTAAACATTGTATCTGATTTGTTTCACTTAAGAGTATGGTCTCAAGGTACAACCATTTAGCTAGAAACGTCTCAAGCTTATCCTTCTTTGTGGCAGAGCAGTACTCCATTATATATATAT